GTTTTAAGCTGTAATTATCAGAAAAATATTAATTTTGCTTTTAAAAAAAGGTCAAACTAGATGCACAGAAGCTGAAAACACAGAAAACAGCTGTAATTAGCAGAAAGCTAACAGAACCATAAAAACTTGAAATAGCAGAAAGAAACTGAAAAAAGTACAAAAGCTTAAATTTGCAGAATAGCAGAAAAGATCAGAATGATAGCTAAAAAAGCAAGAAAAATGCTAAAACCAAAGCTGAAAGTAGCACATAGAAAGTAAAAAAAGCACCAGAACAAAAGAGGCGTGCAGCAAAGATTTAAGAACATTTTTTAGGCATTTTAAGGATGTTGAAAACAGCTCAATTCATTTTAAATGAGAAAACAATGGCAGAAAATGCTAAATACTGTATCTCAAAAAGTATAAACTGCTGAAGTACGAAAAGTCATAGTCAGAATGTCCTGGAGAAGCTGAATGTTTTGATATACAAATTGTTAAAATCACACAAAATTGTRAAATGAGTTACATGCCAAAATACAAACGGAAAAAAATGGATCTCAACAATGTGACTGCTTTATAAGCGTTCACACAATGATCGACTTGACTGGACAAGAAATTAGACCAGTAARTTCTCCAAACATCCACGCTTTCTGACAAACAACAATGATGTTGTTGCCCAAGTCAGGCATTAATGAGAAAACTGTGGGAGGTTATGGCAGGTTTGTTTCACTATAATCAATCAAATCACCAGGTGCCAGCACTCTGGGAGAACTGTGCCAATTTCTCAGTTATTGCAGTGATTCATAAACTTTCTGCTGTGCGGACCCGTAAGTCGCATTACGAGCCGCTTTCAGACAAACAGGATCGCATTTGTAGTTATTACTGTAATATTAGAAGTGGCTGAGGATCAATGCTTAAACTGTTTACTTTGATCTCTAAAGATCAAAGGCTTCCATCGTGTGCTTTTCTCAACTTTATCAGCAATCAGTGCAGAAAAAGTTGACTTTACACAACATTATTACTGTTGTTGGATGTTTATTACATTTATTTCCATCAGGTTTCAAGACAAAGATTTGCAGTTTTTTTCTTTCAGCTTCTGTTCATTGTGTTTTGTTGAAACATTCATGTGGTCCATCACTGAGTGGACTTAGTTTTACACCTCAGTGTCCAAGGATTGATATATTTATTGGTAAAATGAGCAGTACTCACATTGTTGTTGTTATCATAGTGAGAGCATGATCCAGCTGGGCTTTTGGCTGCAGTGATTCTCACTGATGAGAGAAGAGAGATGCAGACATTTCAGAGGGTTGGCAATAATGAAACATCTGAGCTGAACTTGTTGCATCTCACTAAATTAGCTGCTCATATATTTATAGTGTCCACCTCTATTTAATATGCTCATTACTTTAATATGCCCCTCCTGGATGCGGCGTTCCTCAAGGCTCAGTATTGGTCCCTGTTTTGTTTTCTATTAATTTGCTTCCTCTGGGGTCCATTTTCAGAAAATGTGATGCATCTTTTCATTTTTATGCAGTTGACATTCAGATTTATTTGCCTTTGAGATCYGATGGAGCTCAGAGGACTGAGAACCTGCAGAACTGTCTAATGGATGTTAAATCCTGGATGGAACTAAACTTTCTTCATTTAAATGAAGATAAAACAGAGGACCTGAGATTTGGAAAAACAGACATACTGGCAGGATTAAACAGTGCTGTTGGCCCTTTGGACTCAGACTGTGATTTTATTAGGAATCTTGGGGTGATTTTGGACAACAATTTTAAATTTGACAGACAGGTCAGTGTGGTGCTCAGTTTTTATCCTTCAAGGCTTATTTGAAAAGTTAAGCCTTACCTTCCCTACAACACCCTTGTGAGGGTTATTCATGCATTTATCTTTTCTAGACTGGACTACCACTTTATAGTGGAATTGACCAGTCTCTTTTCAACCGTCTCCAACTGGTCCAAAATACAGCAGCTCGTTTGTTAACGGGGACAAGACTGTGTGAGCGTATTACCCCTGTTCTATGCTCACTTCACTGGCTGCCTGTTCCTTTTAGGATTGATTTTAAAGTTCTACTGTGTGTGTGTGTGTGTGTGTGTGTGTGTG